ACCTCAATCAGTGCACAACACAGAGGAAGCGCAGAGCAGTGACTTACGGGGTGAATGAATGAGAACCAGGTGTGGGAGCCTCATTCATCAGCCTCTTTTAAAACGTCTCTTATCCACGGGACTCTCCCCTGGATGATCGACAGGACAAGGGGTGACATTTCCCAGGGGGCCGTGGGGAAGCAGGGGCTCCCAGAGCAGCCTGGCCGGGCTGGAGTGTGGGGTGGGGACGGGCCAGAGTGGGAGCGAGGCTCTGAGGACACCAGGAGGCGGGGTGCCTGGGAAGCTGGGAGTGGAAAGCACCGAGAAAGGGCTGGGGCGCCGCTGTCTGTGTGGAAGGCCCCGAGGCAGCAGCGATGAGGAGAGGGTGCTTCGGAGTGTCCCCTGAACACCAGGTGTGATTCCTCAGTGAAGGCGACAGGTGGGGCACTGGCATCTATTTCCTGACACCCCGTCAAACTGAAATAAAGGGCGTCTTTAGAGGCTTGACCTACGGGAGCAGAGAGAACGCGAGGGAAGCAGATGAGCGAGCGGCGACTGAGGCGGCAGGTGTCAACCTGTCCCACGTCCCAGAACCCTCTAAAGCAGCGGTTCTCAACCTGTGGGTCCCGACCCCTTTGGGGGTCGAATGACCCTTTCACAGGGGTCGCCTAAGACCATCGGAAAACACATATATAATTACATACTGTTTTTGTGATTAATCACTATGCTTTAATTATGTTCCATTTGTAACAATGAAATTGGGGGCCACCACAACATGAGGAACTGTATTAAAGGGTCGCGGCACGAGGAAGGCTGAGAGCCACTGCAAAGGCTCTGGAACAGAAAGCACCAGGTCTCACTGGAAACGGAGGTCGGCTAACAGGAGAACAGATCGAAAGTCTTGAAAGGCAGCTGGGGTTCTAGACCTCCCCCTACTCGACACGGTGGGGTGATTGCCCCCCTCCAGCCCCCGCAGAAGATTGGAGGGCTGTTCTCTGCGCTGGGGACGTCAACCACCACTGAGAACTGGAAGTTAAATTAATATATTTAATATATTTAAGTCTGAGACTCCACCAGCCCTGTTTCCCGACTCGGCTCCAGGATACTGGCCGCCAGGACTTCACTCCTGCCTTGTCTAGAGTGTCCTCAAGAAATGGCCCCTTCAGCTCACCCTCCAGAACAGCTCGGTCCATAAACCCCACCCAAGGATTTGAGCTTTGAAACAGCTTCTTAGCAGCCACCCCCTCCCCGCACTCTAATGATGAGCAGACAACGGCCAGCTCTCCAGGGAAGGCCTCTGGCAGGAATGACAAGGCCCAAACCGGCTGGTGGGGAAAAGTACATTGGAGAAAACAGCCTCGAGGAGAAAGGGAGAGGATACAGTTAAAAAAAGGAATAAGCTTGAGCTCTTGGAAATCAAAAGCATGATGGCAGAAGTGGGAAACTAAATTAGAGTTGGGGGTCAAGTTGAGGGGAGGTCCCAGGAAGAAGAGCCAGAGAGGGCGCTGGCAGGTAGCTGAGACGTGATGAAAAGCGAAGGACCCACCCGCACGGGCGACATCAGGAGAGTAGCGCTCCAGAACGAGAGAACGGAGGAAGCAGAGGGGAGAAGGTATCCAAGAAAGAATTCACAGGAATGTCCGTGAACTGAAGGACCGTTCCTGCCAATGGGTCCTCTGTGTGCCCGGTGCCTGGGGAAAAGGACCCACACTCACTCACATTGTTGGTAATTTCAGAAGCAAAGAGCATACGAGTTTCCGGGGGGCGGGGGTGGGGGCGGGGTGGAGAACAAGGTCACACACGAAAAGAATCAGGAAACTTTTTAACAACAACAGCAAAGCTAAAATGAAATAGGGTGATGCTTTCCAAATTCTGGCATTGGAAAAAAAATTGCATCCAACCTGTAATTCAATTCCCTCTATGAAGAGTGAGGGGAGAGTAAGACACTCAGATATGTAAGGTGTGAAGGCATTTACCTCCATGCGCCTTTACCAGGAAGCTACTGCAGGATGCGCACCACCAAAACAAGGGGGGAAACCGACAGAGAGGAACCCGGGGATTGGCAGACCCCAGGCAGACACAGTGTGCCAGCTTCCACAGCCCCGACCTTCCAGGAGACCTGAGATCTTCCCGCAGGTCCTGCCACCCACAGTCTGGGCCCGGAAATTAGACAACCCGTCACACCACACCACTACGCATCCGTGTTTACAGAAAGCAAGATCGTTATTTACAAGAACAGAAACGCTGAGCTAATTCACTTTTAAATACACCAAGGAGAGCAGCAGACAGAGAGAAAGCAGAAGCCTTCTGAGCGGAACAGGCGGGGCCGTGTCCGCCGGCTTCCCCACCACCCTCTGCTGCCCCGGCCGCGCTCCCCTGCTCCCCGCTGACAGGCAGACCCTTCCCAGTATTGCCCAGCCCTCATTATTCACAAGTGAAGCCAAGTTAAGAAAACAGAACCTTCCCGGACCACTGGAGATCCCCAGCCAAGTTGCAGCGGTGCCTGAGCTCCCTGGGGCCCCATTCTCCAAGCCTTTTCCAGAGATGTGTTCTGGGCAGGGTGAGTCATGGGCGCCCGTCCCCGGGCCTCGGAGAAAGAACACAGGGACACTGGTCCCCCACCTCCTAGCAAGCCTCTCCTTGCTCATGTGGTGGGAGGCAAGTTTTTGCTTCATCCAGGATTGGAAAGACACAGAGGGAAACTTCAGACCTAGATCTAAACCCCTAAAGTTTAGATCTGAGGGCCTGGGATGGTCAGCGACAAAGTTCTCGACAACCAGGAACAAAGGGAGAAAAATAAAGACGAAAAGGGATGTGTATGGAAAGAACTATTCTTGCATCTGGGATTAGATCCTTCTTACGTTTCTGTTCTAAAATGACCATTGGGGGGGGGGGGGGAGTAGAATGATGGTGATTGTGGTTGACATATTTTTTAATGTCCTTACTTGGCAAAATAGGAAAGTTGACATCTCTAGCTAGTGTTCCTCAAAAAAAGAAGAAGGAGGAGGAGGAGGAGGAGGAGGGAGGAGGAGGAGGAGGAGGAGGAGGAGGAGGAGGAGGAGAAGAAGAAGAAGAAGAAGAAGAAGAAGAAGAAGAAGAAGAAGAAGAAGAAGAAGAAGAAGAAGAAGGAGGGGGGGGGGCTTGTTTCTAAGTGGTTAGAGCCACTCACTCCTCTTGTGAAGTGACTTGCCTACGATCACATGGCTAGCAGGTGAGTTCGAACCCAGCTCTTCTGCTCCTGGCCCAGGGCCCTGCCCCCTAGTCCTCTAGATGTGGCAATGGCTGTGTTCTCAATTCATGAGATGGTTCTGGTTGCTCAGAACCAGTTGGCAAAGCAACAAAGAAACAAACAAAAAAATTAAAAATACAAAACAAGTCAATGTGATCGCAATAAGCATATCTGCATAGACAAAGGTATGGAAGGAAAGAGGGCCCCATGGTCATGGCCGTCCCCCTCTGAGGTGGGCTGCCTGGTGATTTTTACTGTGTTTTTCCTTTTCTCTGTTTTCCAGTTTTTGTTTTTCCAGTGACCTTGTTTCTATTTGTATGACAACATAAAATAATAACCATGTAGAAAGATGAAATAAGAGAAGTAAAAATTAATTTCTTTCAAAGATCCCATCTCACTTTCTGGCCACTTTCCAATGAATAAACTCTTGGGGGTTGGTGCTCCAGAGATGGCCTAGGTCCCCGCCCTGCCCTGTGGGCGTGGCCTGCCCAGGACCCTCCCTCCACGGCTCTCCAACCCTGGGCTTCTCTGCAGCCTGACATTCCTGCTGCATCATCCCCCAGCTGCCAAATGATGACCCCACAGACAAGCAGCCCCCAGACCACCCAGGGTCATTGCCAGGGTGCTCCTGCCCACCTGGCCTGAGTAGAAGTGGAGAGCCCAGCCTTGGGGGTCAGTCTTGACTGACAGTTCAGGCTCTGCTGTCAGATGGCCCTGGGCAAGTCATTTCCCTCTCGGGGCCTCTGTGTTCCAATGGGTAAAACCAGGGTGGAGAGCGTTTGACAGGGAGTAGACTGGGTGGTCTCTAAGTTTCTTTCCAGGCTTAATATTGAAATATGCTGGGACTGACCAGTGACATCATCCCCCACACATTTGGCCTTGCCTCTCTGGGCTGCCCTCGGGTCCCTGAGTGGAGAGTCTAGGTCTGAGAGAAGTCCCAGCCATTGCGCACAAGTGTGAATGAGCATATGTGTGTGTGTGTGTGTGTGTGTGCAGGGTGCATGTGGGGGTGTTGGGGTGTGCAGGGGTGTGTATGTGAGTAGGAGGTACCAGAGGGACATCATCCAGTTATCTCACCTTTTGGGGGATCCTGCTCCTTTCCTCGCCAAAACCCCAGCCATCCATCCCACCCTTCTCATTCCTTTGTCTTCTCTATTCCTGCTTCTGTGTCAAGTCCCAGCTCTGTGTTCCTCCTCTGTCTCTGACCTAGAACAAGACCTGTTGCTCTGTAGCCCTGGTTAAGTGTGTGCCCCCCCCCACCCCCCCCCCACACACACACACACGTGGTCTCTCTCCCAGGGCACCATCCCCCAGGCCCCTGGCCCTCTTCCAAGAGGTGCCCATGGCTCTCAGAGTCCACCTTGGTCCAGACAGAAATGAAGATGGGTTCCACTGCACAATGACAAAGTCAAAGCATTTTTTCTGCCGAGATCTGAATGAAAAATCCGGAAGCCCGACAGCGCCATGATTTGTTACCCTGACATCGCCTCTCTACGCATTGAACAGAGTTTAATTAAAATCTCATGAGTGATGAGGGCCCTTTGACTGTGCACCTCTGGGCTCTTCCAGGTGGAAAGGCAAGGTCTTTTCACAACAAGGACAAAGGCTCAAGGATGGCCCTAAAAGATTGGGGGTGGGGGGTTCGCTGCAGCTCAGGCAAGCACAGCCTGTGGGTTTGAGCCACACCCACCGCTCCACCCACTTCACCAGGGAGGAGACTGAGACCAGCTCTTTCAGCCCCTCAGCGCCTCCCAGTGACCACACCCCCATCGCCCCTCCACCCTGGACTCACCCTCAGGGCCGGCAGGGAGCTGACCTGGTCCGTGGTCAGGGTGGCCTCCTTGTAGTACTTCCCGGGCGGGCAGAGCTTCAGGAAGGTGTCGTGGATGCTGAGAAGCGAGACGTGACGGGCTGGGGAGTAGAGACCAGCAAGCCCCCTCCCTCCCTCCACCGTGCTCCCTGGAGGAAAGGACTCAGGATTGATTGACACAGAAAAGGCAGTTATAAATCATCCACCCTTCCAGAAACATCCTTGAGGCTGCAGTGCACAGAGCTCACCTGGCGTGGGATGGGTGGGGGGAGACATTCCCCAGGAGAGCACTGGGGGACTGAAGGTCAAGGAGGAGAGGAGCCGTCTGCCCCAGCCCCAAGGAGCATTATCACGGTGATGGTTAGAATTGCAGGTGGGAGGTGACCATAAAAAGCAAACTGACTTTCAGTCAATGTTATGAACGTTGAAGCATTCTCTGAGGCCATGGGCCCAGGGCATTCGGCTCCCGCTGTCCTCACCCAGGTTCCCCCTGGGAGTGCCTGCTGCAGGCTGCCTCCTCTCGGGGACACTTTTCATGGAACAGGGCCATTATCTCTCATTTACAGATGAGGACACTGAGGCTCAAGGTGAAATAACTTGCCTAAGGTCACACGGTGGTCAGAGTGAAAGCCAGGCTATAGACACCCGGCCCTTCCTCAAGGAGCCCAGAGGAGGGAGGTGTCAGGTGGCTGAGGGAGACTTTAGAAACCTCGCCTGCCCCTGAAGCCCTCTCCTCATTTACCAAGCTCCATGATGGGTGCACTCCAGCACATGATCTCATTGAGTCTTCCCATCAACCCCTGGGAGAGACATAGGGGTGATCATTTCTATAGAGGGGTAAACTGAGGCACAGAGTGTTTAAGGGGTGTGCCCAAGGTCAGGAAGCTTGGAAGAGACAGAGTGGGGTCTGAGCCCTAAACCTGGTTCTTCTGGCTGTGCCGCCCACCCCTAAAGTGTTCATCCCCACCCAGGGGAGAGCCTGGAAGCCCCACCCCCCTGGAGAGCCGTGGGGAGGTGGTGCCTGGGGAGGGCCCTGCCCGGACTTCATGCCCCCCCAGGCCGCGGTGGGTAGGCTGCCCTCACATGAGTTGTGGCTGTGTCTCAGCTGCCACCGAATGTCCTCCTCCTCCAAATATGGATCAGCCGGCTCTAAGTGGAGCTCTGAATTAATCACTAATGGACTCAAAGTCAAAGTCATTTAAAAAACTCACACACAGCCTGCCAGAAACCCAGCCGGCAGGCGGTGGCTCCCGCACACCTAGCCCAGACGCGGAGGGGCCGCCTGCGCCGGGAGAGGCGGGCACCTGCTCCACTGCGCACACTCGGGGACCGTGAACCAGCCACGTCCCCTCCAGGCCTCAGTTTCCCCCGTGTAAGATGAGTCTGGGTGGTGCCCTCGCCCTGGCTCCTCCAGTTCAGACATTCTGTGGCTGTTTCTGTCCCTCTCTCTGCTCACCTCTTGCCTCTGAGGCCCCGAATTTAGTGGTTTTCCACTGGGTCCCTCGTTAGAATCATGGAGGGGGCTTATGAAAGGGTCCGTGTCCACCCCTGGAGATTTCCATTCAAGGCCGGGGCGGAGCCCAGGCACCGATAGGTTCTATAACAGGGGTTCTCAGCCTTCCTAAGGCCGCGACCCTTTAATACAGTTCCTCATGTGGTGGTGACCCCCAACCATAAAATTATTTTCGTTGCTACTTCATACTGTAATTTTGCTACTGTAAACAATATGTAATTATATATGGGTTTTCCGATGCTCTTAGGCGACCCCTGTGAAAGGGTCATTCGACCCCTCAAGGGGTCGAGACCCACAGGTTGAGAACCGCTGTTCTATAAGCTTCCTTCCGCGCTGCTGTGGTGCAGGCAGGAGGAGAACACAGTGCCTCTAGGCGGGTCCTGGCTCGGGGGCCAGGGCCATGGGGTCAGCAGGCTTTGCCCACGGGACAGCTTGCAGGTATTTTATAAATAGCCCTATCTTTAGCCTGCAGGCTTTTAGTCCCGTGATTGACTACTTCCAGGCTGTGTGCCTTGGGCACATCCTTTCTCTGAGCCAGTTCCCTCATTTGCCAAAAGGGGATGATAACACCATGAAAATAGCAATGACCACATACTCAGCACTGACCCTGGTGCTGTCACGGGTCGGGTCATCTCCTTGTCCTACTAACAGCCATTGCTCTCAGGTCACCCTTTTCCTGTAAGTGTGGAAACTGAGGCCCAGCGGAGGTAAGAAGCTCACCCGCCATCACACAGCTAGGAAGTGACTGCTGAGCCTCGGACCCAGGCCTCTGGCTTCCAGGAAGCAAGCCTGTCACCGCTCCACCTGCTGTCCTGGCGTTCGAGGAAATCCAGGAGCTCAGGGCCAGGACAGGGCCTGGAGCCCGGGGAAAGCCTCCATTTCGATGGCTAGACATGCATCCTATGGATCGATGCTCACCTGTTGGATAAGCGCTTTGTGCATGAGGGTTGGACGTAACACTATTTGTAAAGCTGAAAACCATAAACAACCTAAGTGTACATTACAGGGGGTTGGGAAAATGAATTACGGTTCTTCCGTAGGAAGGAATGCTCCGTAGTCATTAAAAAAGAAAGAGGCAGATTTCTGTGCTTTAAGCAAAACCAGCCCAGATGAAAACTTTATAAAAAAGGGTCCGGAACAGTATGAATGCTACCCTATACATGAGTAAATGCGACAGTATGAAAGGGATACCCTGTTTGAAGGCTCTGTGTGTCGGTCTATCTATGAAAGATTCTTCCGGAAGGCTAATGGGAAACAACTGAGCAGTGGTTACCTTTGGGGAAAAGACCTGGGAAAAGGGGGGGGGGGGGTGCATTTACTTTTTTATGTAGAGCTTTCTATGCTATCGAATTTTCTAGCCATGCTCACAAGTTACATTTTAGATTTTATTTTTGCTCAAGAGTTACTTTTTAGAAAAGCTCAGTAGGGGTAGTAGGATGTGAGTCATGTGGAGTTTTGTCATATTTTTTTCTATATTTAAAAAAGTGAGTGAATTTTCATTTTCAAAGGAAAATAATATAGCCCCGTGACTGGCCCTGGTCTCCATGGCTCCCTGTGTCCTGGCCACGCTCAGTGCCTGGGGAGGCTCATGCTTGTGGCAAAGGCGTCGCCTGCCTGGGACTCGAGGTGGGAAGTGTGGCTCTCAGGCCGGGCGTCATGGCGGGGAGCGCGAGTCCACGCAGAGACAGTGAGGGGAGAGGGCCCAGGCCTGAGGGTCTCACAGTGGTCTCCTCCCTCCAGCCCTGCCCCACCCCATGCCTTAGTGAGCTCATGTACCCGTCTACCAAGTGTTCGCTGAGCACCTGGCTTGGGCTGTGCACTCACCCCTCCCTCATGCCTTCCATCCCTCTGCATCCCATGAGGGGACGTGGTGATGGGTGGCTTTGGACAGAAACCCGTGAGAGCAGGGACCAATGGTCACCACTGCACTCCAGGGCCGGCACGGTGTCTGCCGCACACCAGGCACTGAGGGAGGCTTGGGGAGGGTGTGGGTGATAAGAGAGGTGCAGTTACCCAGCCAGTGACGGGTCCAAACGGGCTTCAGACCTGTTTCCTGAACGAATTACGGTTCATCCAGGAACCCTTGTCTTCATCATCCCAGGGAGGGCCTGTCCACCTCTGTGATTCCATGAGGAAGCCCTGCCTTGGGTCCCCCAGCAGCCTGAAGCCTGACATTCCACTCATCTCGTCAGGCCTGGGGATCACGACCCCACCCCTGGGGCTGGTCCGTCTCTGCCTGCTCTGGGCAGCCTCATCCTTCACTCTTACCACCCGTGAGCTTAGGGCTCTGCGGCTCTGAGCAGGGACCACCCGCAGGGGCCAGGGCAAGATTCCAGCCCAGGGGGCAGGGGGCCGGGGGCGGGAGGGGCTCTACTCACCACAGGATCTCATTTCTGGTCAGGAAGGTCAGCGCCTACAACAAACCACAGAGAGGTGACCTGCCCACTCCGTCCAGCCCTGCCCTGGCCTCCCGAGGAGTGGGGAGCTTCGGGGGCCGGGGTGGAACAGCCAGAAATGGAGGCACCTGGCCCTCCGCAGCGGATGCCTGAGGGGGTGGCCGAGGAGCAAACAGTGCCCTGCCCCCTCCCCTGGCTCTCATGGTCTCTGGAAGGAGTGTGTGGGCTCAGACCTGGAGAGAGAATCAGAGACAAGACGGAAACCGGGCTGTGGGGCAGGGAACGGGTGGGGAGGAGGCCTGGGAGGACTGGACTGGACATCAGCAAAGGCCAGGGCCACCACTATCTGACTGGTAGGCTCTAGACCAGGGGTCCTCAAACTACGGCCCACGGGCCACATGCAAATACAAATATTGTATTTGTTCCCGTTTTGTTTTTTTACTTCAAAATAAGCTAGAGTCTAGAGCAGCGGTTCTCAACCTGTGGGTTGCGACCCCTTTGGCGGTCAAACGATCCTTTCACAGGGGTCGCCTAAGACCATCCTGCATATCAGATATTTACATGACGATTCATCACAGTAGCAACATTACAGTTATGAAGTAGCAACGAAAATAATTGTATGGTTGGGTCACAACATGAGGAACTGTATTTAAAGGGCCAGAAGGTTGAGAACCCCTGGTCTAGGGCTTCAGGTAAGAGTCTTCCCGCTCGCCCCACCTGCCTTAGGAAGCTCCCACCTCTGCCCAGAGTCTCAGCCTGATCTACCCACCTGGTACTCTTCCAGGTCCTCCCAGTGGATCTGGTACCTCAAACACTGTCCCATGCCAGCCACACCTTTCTCTCTGCCGGCAGCAGAACCTTTGGCCCCAGGGCTCACCAGTTTGTGTGACCAGGTGATCTGGTTGCCATAGCTGCCATACATTCTACCTTCTGCCCATTCTACCTAAGCTTCTGAGGGGGCAAAGAAATGGGTTCTTCTGGTTCCCAGGGCCGATAGACACCACCCTCAGCCACAAACCGAAAGGCAGCCCAGGGGCAGGGCCGAGTGCCATTCTGTTGGCTTGGGGGTCGCACTGCCTGGGCTAGAATCCCAAATCTGCTCATGCTGACAAGACACGTGACCTCGGCTAGTTACGCAACCTCTCCCGGTCTTAGCTTCCTCAACTATAAAACAGGGTGATAATCATGGGGCGTTGTGAGATTATTCGAGTTAGCACAAGTAGCAATGCCAGGCACGTAAGTGCTCAGGAGATGTTAGAATCCTGTCCCAAGCGCTTTGCCAAAGGTGGGGGTGCAAAAATGAGTAGCATAGGCCCTGATCTCAGGAGTGGCCCAAAGAGCACCTACAGGGGCGTCCCAGCCCCTCAGTCAGGGTCCGGTCAGGGTCCCTGCAGGAGCAGAGGGTACATTCAAATGAGGGTACTTTGGAGAGGGTCTAAAAAGGGGACTTCATGGAACTCTTCAAAAGGCAAGGTGGGGTGTAGACAAACCACCCAGGAGAGGGCAGAATCCTGGGCTACTTACCACAGAGATGCTCCAGTCCTGGCCCAACACACGGGGATCAGGACCCCAGCATCGCTCTCTCCTCTCCTTCTCTCCTGCAGGAATGAAGAGCAGGTGGAGAGTTGACCTGGGGAGACAGAGAAGTCCAGCTCAGCTGCAGTGCCACAGGCCAGGAGGCGCCTCCCACAGCCACCCGCCACTCCTGCCCCTGGGCGGTCCGCACGCCCACCCGCACTGTGCCCTGTGGCTTTCCTGGTTCTACCAGGTCCTGCCACACGCTCTCCTACGTGAACATCCCAGGCCTTTCTGTTGCAGCTGATTCATGTCTCTGGAAATCAGCTGCTCCGTTTTCTTTTCTTTTGCTCTATTTTCTTCACCTGTCCTTCCCGGAGATGGAGCCAAGCAGAAGAACCCCAGGGGCCCTCAGCCCCTGGTTGACCTGGCAGGCACAGGGGCAGCACCTGCAGTGTGCTGGGAACCGGGCCTGACCCTGGGGAGAAATGAGTGACTGTGGTCTCAGCCTTCAAGAAATGGATACTTCACTCACACACACACACGCACGCACGCACACACACGCACACGCACATGCACACGCACACGCACACGCACACAGATGCGTAGTGAGTTCTCAATCAAGGGTAAGTGATATTGTTACTTTTTACAGCTGAGCCTGGAAGAACGGGCAGGATTTTAGCAGGCAAAGTCAGCAATTAAGTCCCATCTGCTGCTAAGCCCTCGGAACTTCCACCATCGTTTATTGAGCAGCTTCTCTCTGCCAGCCGAGTCCCTGTAAGCTGCCTCCTGCCATGCCCCACAGAGGTCTGTGAGGTCGGCAGGTACGGTTCCTTTGCTCTGGGAAGGCCAGGAGGTGAGGTTCAGCGACGCTGTGGGAACCCTCAGGAGAGTGGGCAAGGGAGGGTCCAAGCCTGGATCGCAGGCGCAGGCCTGGGGGGTTCCCACAGCCTGGGTGGGAGCCAGGTGAGCTGTGGGTGACACCCCCCGAGGCTGCTTCCTTCTCATCTCACTCGTTCCTCCTGTGACCCGGAGCTGCCGGTGGCAGCGAGGCAGAGGCTGGTGGGTGCCTTTACGCCCTGTTGACACTCCCAAAGAGGAAACGGACTAGAGAACATCCCTGCAGCTCTTTATTCAACAGCTGCTTATTGAGAGGAGACAGAGTGCAGGAGAGACAAGGCCCTGCCCTCCTTCAGCCAGACACACAAAGGAAGAGCAGCATCCCTGCCACAGAGATAAGGGCCTGGAAGCAATAAAGCTGGGGGGGCGGGGGGCTGGAGAGGCTTCCTAAGGCGGCGCACGGGAGTGGAGACCCAGGGACCAGGAGAGGTGAGCCAGGCTAAGCGGGGAGGTTTTCAGGCCCAGGAGGTAACAGCATCCAGCTGGGATTTAATAACACGGCTTGGTTTTCATTACCTTTGTTTATGGCCTTCCTTCCATTTTGAAAATGATGCAGGTTTGCCATTTATAACTGTGATATAAAGTTTCCTTTATAAATAGACCTGTTTAATGAAAAGAAATAGGAGCACATATAAAGAAAAATGCTGAGTAAATAATTGTACAGGTGGTGAAGGATATGCCAGAAATCATAAACCTCTCTCTTTCTCACCTCAAGCAGGTATCCAAGGTTTGCAAACTCTGCTGCCCTCCCCTCCCCTTCAGTTCCATCCCCCCCACATCCTCCCAACGCCTGCCCACAGCCCCGCAGCCACTGGTCCTTACAAATAGCAATAGTAGCAATAAGAATATCACCTTACATTTGCATATCCCTTTGTAATTCCAAAATGCTTTTCAGTGCATGGGCTCATTTACCCAAGAAATAAAAGCCTGTGCTCCTTAAAAGGAAAAAAGAAAGAAAGAGAGAAAGAAAGAAAGAAAGAAAGAAAGAAAGAAAGAAAGAAAGAAAGAAAGAAAGAAAGAAAGGAAGATAGATCCCCACCCCCATATGTTTCTTCCTTCAATTCACTAACCAACCAACATCCCTACCCGCTCCATCCAAACTCCTCAGCAGGGGTGTCCTTGAGCGGCAGGAGGCCCAGCCTGGCCCCACAGCTCTCATCCTTCCTCCCCAGGGTCTGCCCCTGCCCCAACCCTCTGGCTTGGGATGGAATGTGCTCTTTGCAAGGTTTCTGAAGCCTTGCAATGAGCTCTACCAACTGTTAAAACTGCAACCACTACTCAGCCTTGATTTAGACGTCTCTTAAAAAGGGCTGGAGCCAAAACCGGTTTGGCTCAGTGGATGGAGCGTTGGCCTGCGGACTGAGGGGTCCCAGGTTCGATTCCGGTCGAGGGCATGTACCTTGGTTGCGGGCACATCCCCGGTGGGGGGTGTGCAGGAGGCAGTTGATGGATGTTTCTCTCTCATCGATGTTTCTGGCTCTCTATCTCTCTCCCTTCCTCTCTGTAAAAAATCAATAAAATATATTTTTTTTTAAAAAAAAGGGCTGGAAAACAAACAAACAAAAAAACACACAAACAAAAAGACAAATAGCCCAACTAAAAAAAAAAATGGGCAAAGGATTTGAATAGAACTTTCTCCAAAGAAGATACACAAGTGGCCAATGAGCACATGAAAAGGCACTCATCATCATCGGCCATCAGGAGATGCAAATCAAAACCACAGTGAGATACCACTGCACGCCCACTGGGCTGGCCCAAGTCAAAAATACAGTAAGTGTTGGTGAGACGCAGAGAAACTGGAACCCTCACACACTGCTAGGGGGAATATTAAATGGCGTGACCACTTGAGAAAAGAGTTTGGTAGGTTCTCAAAAATGTGAAGGCCCAAGATGGAGTCACTTGTGCTAAGCCCCACATCATTAAACCAAGACTGACTTACAAGTTTTGGCTCTCCCAGAAATGGAATCTTAAAACCAGTCCATCAGGAATCACCTAATTAGCACCAGGGAGGTCTTCTGCCGGATACCTCCCAGAAGATTGAGAACCACTGCCCTAAAGGAAGGTGACCTTGCCACAAACAACCGGTGTTTTGCTAATATAACTTCCTTGTTCCCACCACCTTCTGCCTATAAAAGTCTCATTTCGTACAGCTCCTCGGAACTTCTATCTGCTAGATTCGAGCTGTCCGATTTATGAATTATTGAATAAAGCTAATAAGATCCTTAAAACTTCCTGAGACTAATTTTGGTTTTTAACACGTACGACCCTGCAACTCCACTCCTGTGTATATACCCAAGAGAAGTGAAAGCATTTGTCCACATAAAATCCTGTACGTGAATGTTCATAGCAAGGTTATTCAAAAGAGCCAAAAAAGTAGAGACAGCCCAAATAACCACCAACTAATAAATGTATAAATAAAATATGGCATATCCCATATAAGGGAGCATTATTCTGCTGTAAAAATAAATGAACTGTTAATACATGGGACAACATGAATGAAGCTTGAAAACATGATACGAAATTAAGAAAGCTAGTCACAAAAGGCCACACATTATATCATTCCATGTATATGAAATGTCCAGAGTAAAAAAATCCATAGAGACAGAAAGTAGATTGGTGGTTGCCAAGAGAAGGGGGGAGGGGAGATGGAGAGGTTACTGCTAATGGATATGGCGTTTCTTTTGGGGGTGATGAAAATATTCTAAAATGAGATGGTGCTGATGGTTGTACAACTCTGTTGTGCACTATAAGATTGAATCGTATGTCAATGATTTATTAATAAAGCTGTTACTGAAAACCATTTCAAGGAGCATGTATGTCCTAACTTAGTGCCCAGCACTTCGTAGACCCATCAAAAATATTATTAAAGAAATGTGTAAATGAGTATTATATTTTCAAATAGTTTCCAATCTATTTCCTCAGCCTGTGAGTCTTGTAGTTGGTTGGGGGGCGGACACCCACTGTAGTTATTTGGTGCTGAGGACCAAGGTGGATCCTGCTGGGGCAGGTCGCTGCCCAGCCCCGAACGTCAACTAGATTTCTGTTTGAGTTCCCAGCAGCTGAGCAGCCTGGAAAGCCACGCTTGGGCAGGAGAAAGGATTGTCTATTTTCCTTTGGTGTGGCAAGAGGCAGGCCTGGGGAACGAAGACTGTGGGATCTACAGGAGCATCCTGGCAGACTGCAAGGAAAAGGACAGAAGGACTGCCCTTCTGGTCTGGGAGACAGGGGACGGAGAAAACAGTGGCGACGCCAGACAGCCATGAGCTCACTACCCCAGGGTGAGGGCGCAGGGAGCTTAGAAACATCCCTGGTGCTGAGGATCTCAGTGCCTGAGTCACGCTGCCTCAAGGTCACCTGTGGGATAAGTTGGGGGCTGCACACCTCTAGAAGTCTGCCAAGAAAGGGGGAGGGACGGGGGGATGACTAAGGCAGGGCTCCCAGCCTCCCAGGCCCTGCAGGGAACCCATATGCTCCAGGGAGTGGATCAGAGGGGATGAGAGCTCAAGCAAGGCTGGCCAGGATGCAGAGGCACTCTCCCAGGGACAAGTGGGACAACCCAGACTCCCACGGTGCGTGTCGGCACATTGTCCATAAGGCCAGCTGTGACCGTCATGCCTGGTTAGACCAGCAAAATGCACAGAACAAGTATGGATCTGAGGATACTTCCCCGTGGCCAGTGAGGCCCCCACATGCTGCCAGGTACTGACGGAGTAGAGAAGGGGGTACCCAACCTGGAACACAGCGTTTAGGCAGAGGGACTAGCTCATCCAAACAGACCCTTTAAAGTAGTTTCCCATTTACATCTCCTGGGGGACAGTCGGTTGTTAAGGCTGGAGCTAGAAACAGAATAAGTCGTCCATCGATGGCACATTTAAATGGGGAAGAAATCGCCCCACGTGGAAGACACTGGAGCATTATTCCTAGGAAGTCTAGAGGTGGAAGCTTGGGAGGGAGATCTGTGGTTTTAGAGAATAAGCAGTCTTTTCTTTGCACACCCGGGAAAGACTCCCTGGCCAGGCCGGGGGAGAACGCTGAGGGGGCCGATCCAGAGGGCCCTGGGGACCCCACCAGCCAGACGAGCAGGCTGGAGCCTGGACACGGAAGGAGGAGAGGGTGGGAGACTGTCCAGGCTCACCCACACCACCCACTGCCTTCCAGCACAAAGGCCACACATCACCAGGCCACACGTCACCTTCCCCCGATCAAGCTAGAACTATTCAAGGGGAGTTCTGCCTCTGCATCTGGCTTCTGGGCCGAGGGTGGGGTGGGCCTATGTTTGGAAGAGACTGAGTCTCCTGACAGATGAGGAGGCACCTCGGGCAGTGGTGGGAAGCAGGTAAAAAGCACGTCTGATGCTAACTGCCTAGAGTTAGTGCAGACATC